GTTGACCAGGATGGTCTGGATCTCTTGACCTCGTGATCCACCCGCCTCGGCCTCCCAAAGTGCTGGGATTACAGGCGTGAGCCACCGTGCCCGGCAATTTTTTTTTTTTTTTTTAATTTTTTGTAGAGACGGTGTCTCCATGTATTGTCCAGGCTGGTCTCGAACTCCTGAGCTCAAGGGATCCTCCTACCTCAGCCTCCCAAATCACTGGGATTACAGGCATGAGCCACTGCACCCACCTGCCAGATAATAGTAATAATGATGGTATTCTAAGTTTTACTGATTGCTTACTATAAGCCATGCACTGTGCTAAGTGCTTTACATGAATTGTCTCATTTAAACCTCACAGCAAACCCTCAAAATAGAGTGCTATGATTACATTTCTGCAGAGAAAATTGAAGTTCTAAAATGTTCACTAACATGCTTAAGGTCACACAGCTAAAACTAGTGCTAAATCCAGAATCTGGATCCAGATAGTTTAACTTTCTGGATTTAGCCTACATGCTCTAATCACTCTGTTCTGCTTCCCCGGGCAGAAGACTATGAGACAGCTGATACAAGTTTCTTGCTTACCTCTTCACTCCCTGTGGGTGGTCCCTGAATTGCACAAATATCTGAAGGAGCTGAAGCCACTTCTGGCTTTCCATTTTCTCCCAGTGGCTTTTCAGCTACTAAGGGGTATCCCTTGGCTGAAAGCTCTTCAGTGTCTCTGCAGAGCTCCCTTTCTCCTTCACTAGCTTTAATTTCCCTTCCTTCTTGTCTGGTACCAGATGGAGGGCAGCAGCCTTCACTTGATTCATTGCTGCTAATGCACAAGGGCTCCATTAAGTAAGCTACCTGCAATCAAAGTTTATTATTAGATGCACAGGAACACCAATGAAAATCATCCACATATCAACAATGCCACACGCTAACAATGCCACAGTGACTAAGTCTGAGAGGACAAAATGGTTTAATTAATTCAATCATTTAAAATCTGTCAAATATATACACAGGCACTGGGCTAGTTGGTGGGGGGGAAGTTACAGTGAACAAGAAAGATATGGCCCTTGCCTCTTCCAGGAGTTTATGTTCTAATTTTTTTTTTTTTTTTTT